ATTTATATGGCGCCAACAGTGTGCGCAGCGCTTTACAATATAATGAAGACATTACAGTCCCAATACAATTTAAGACAAGATGGTAAGGAGGGTCCTGCCCCTGAGGGCTTACAATCTAAAAGGGAGGAGCAAGTGATACATGAGGAGGGAGCTGCGTGGGGATGATTGTTTGAGAAAGTGATTGTTCAGTGGTTAGGGTTGAGATGAGTCTTAAGGGATCGCCTAAAGGCAGTCAGTGTGGGAGATAGACGGACAGGTTGGGGTAGAGAGTTCCATAGAATGGGAGACACTCTAGTGAAGTCCTGGAGGCGAGCATGGGAGGAGTTGATGACGGAGCTGGAAAGCAGGAGGTCTTGTGAAGAGCGGAGGGGACGCTTAGGGTAATACTTTGAGACCAGGTTGGAGATATAGCCGGGGCCAGAGTTGTGAATGCGGTCTTTATTACAGGAAGCTCCGAGTCTCACACGGGATTACTGCACAGATTAGACATGTGCGATTCCCTTCGTCCCAAAACTAAATCCGGACGAAATTTCGGACGTTCGGATGCATCCGAATTCCAGCTATAACGAATGCAAACGAATCTGAATTTCCGTTTCCGATAGTAGTCTGGACGAAATTTCGTTGCAGCAAAATGACATTTGAGGGAAAAATATGTTTTTTTCCCTTGAATGTCACTTTGCTGCAACGAACGCACGAAACGAAACGATCGTTCGTCCAGACTTCCGCTAATTTCGTCCGAATTCCAAAAACGAATTGATTTTTGGACCCGAAAAACGAAATAACGCAAAATCGGAATCGAAACTAAACAAAAGCAATTTTTTGCTGGTGCGCATGTCTAGTAGTGATGGGCTCGGGCGTGTCTGCAAGCGCCTGGTGCCGAGCCCGCCGGGAAGCCGCCAGGGCCAATCACATGCACCGAGACATGTTCCCGGTCCGCAGCTGCAGAGATCGGGAAATGTCTCAGTGCCTGTGATTGGCCCTGCGCGCTGACGGCTTCCCGGCGGGCTCGGCACGAGGCGATTACGAACACGCCCGAGCCCATCGCTAATGTCTAGCACAGACCTGGAAGAAATACACAAAGGTCGCCGAGATTCCAGACGAACACACAGGACTCTTGTATGAGGACGATATCAGCTGATCCCGGAATCTTCCATTGTCTGGTCACAGGTGCATTTTAAAGCGCAACTGGAGCTAAAACCTTTCTCTTTAGTTTTGGGTAGAGTGGAGGGGGAATCAGACGATATTGGGTTGTCACCAGAACGGGAAGAGATGGGAAATCCTCCAATGAGGACACTAGTTCTACTGACCACTGGGGATTTCTCTCTATGGAGAGATTTTCTCACACTTCCTGTTGTGGCGATTGAACAGAGATCTCCCCAATGGGACACGGGTGACGGGTTATCCCTCCCTCACTCCATCCAAAACTGGAATTTAAATACGAGAATCCCCAGAAATGTTTACATAGTAAATAAGTTGTAAGATCCTCTTTTGTACCCCCCCTGTAATCCATGTACAGCGCCCCTGTAAAATAGTACTGAGCTCTAAAACAAAAAAATTATTCAATAATTAATTTCCAAATAAATATAAATCGCCCAGCAAAGTAATTCTTTAACATTTTTGCCCAAGCGCATACAGTTATCATGTTTGCAAACAGCTCCAACTCTCTCAGCTCGGCTTCCCTGTACTTCCTGTCCAGTACAAGATCACAAGGTGACAGAGCACAGTCCCCAGCAGCCGACCATCTACTGGCTTGAAGGAGGGAGGAAGGAGGCGGGGGAGGGGAGTGTCTTTCCTTTTGCTGTGACTGTTTGTTTGTGGAGACACGCTCAACTGATAACTTTTAAACATCGAGGAGCAGCATCCGTCGTAAGTGATTTCATCAGCTTTCAAATCGCTTAAAAACATTCTGACTTTCATATCACTTTAAGTTATTATTATGCAGGATTTAGGGAGCGCCTACAGTCTGCGCAGCGCTGTACAAGACAGAGGGAGACAGTACAGACTCAATACAAGAGGTTTAGGAGGCCACTGATCCTAAGAGCTTACAATCTAAACAAGCACATGCAGTGTGCGTCGGCCAGTCCACGCTTGGCTCTGCTCCACACTCACTGCTTGCGACATCGCCGCGCGGCTTTACATGCCGGCATTGCGAAACTTTCCCCCTCTGCAAGAGAAAATGAGATTGTGATGACATGCGGCGCGATGAAGGACGATTGAGCCGGGCCGGGATGAGACTTCGTTGACTGTAAATTCCGGGTGATTGATGGGATTTTGGGGCTGTGACAAGAAGACACAGAACTGGCCAATGAGAGGAGGAGACTTTATCGCTGCGATAATCTTACCGTCCACATCTACAGAGGAAACTCGCTCTTCCGTCCCTGGAACTCCACGCATGTGTCACGGTAAGCGGTAAGTGAAGATTGTGAACATCGGGAGAAATGTTTGTTTTGTGTCGGTTGTGGGATTAGAGAGTTCATGCTGAAAAAAAGAGAGAGAGTGTTGGAGAGAGAGATACAGAGAGAGAGAGAGAGAGACAGAGAGAGAGAGAGAGAGAGAGAGATACACAGAGAGAGATAGAGAGATACAGAGAGAGATACAGAGAGAGAGAGAGATACAGAGAGAGAGAGAGATACACAGAGAGAGATACAGAGAGAGAGAGATACACAGAGAGAGATAGAGAGATACACAGAGAGAGATAGAGAGATACAGAGAGAGTGTTAGAGAGATACAGAGAGAGTGTTAGAGAGATACAGAGAGAGAGCGTGTTAGAGAGATACAGAGAGAGTGAGAGAGAGTGTTAGAGAGATACAAAGAGAGAGAGTTACAGAGAGAGAGTTACAGAGAGAGAGAGAGAGATACTGAGAGATGGTGTTAGAGAGATACAGAGAGAGAGAGAGAGAGATACAAAGAGAGAGAGACAGAGATACAGAGAGAGAGAGAGAGAGAGAGACAGAGAGAGAGAGAGAGAGAGACAGAGAGAGAGAGAGAGAGAGAGAGAGAGAGAGAGAGAGAGAGAGAGAGAGATACAGAGAGAGAGATACAGAGAGAGAGAGAGATACAGAGAAAGAGATACAGAGAGAGAGTTACAGAGAGAGAGAGAGATACTGAGAGAGAGAGAGATGCAGAGAGAGAGAGTAACAGAGAGAGAGAGAGAGAGATACTGAGAGGGTGTTAGAGAGAGAGAGCGCGCCACAACCTAGCACAATAGACCTGGTGGTTACAGAGAATGTAATTGGGTAACAATGTTGCGCTCACACATATATATATATGACGGGCAGATTGCCAAATACAGACACAATCATCTGCGATACGTAGTATCCTGCGGTGTCTCTTGTGTTGCCGAACGGAAACTCTTCAGGTATACAAAGTATCCACTTATAGATGTAACTCATCTGACGGGAGAGAATTGGGGAAAGAAATAGAGAGACCAGTGTGACGACACGGTGATAAGTTTATAAGTTAAATGTGTATTGGTATTGAGTTATGTTTGAGTGCGTTATGCTGAGTAACCTGGTGATGAAAAGACTATCAGCCCCATCCCCCGTTATCTCCCATTGTTCTCTGAAGGAGCTCAGAACAATGACATTCTGACCAGGCTCCTCCTATGGCTGCCTGGAGCTATTTAGCATGTGGACACCTGTGGTGTTGTGAAGACAGGATTTCTGGGGAGGGGAAGGTGGATGTGATGGGATTATAATCTGATTACTTGCTGTATAAAAGTTTGTGCAGTTTCTCAATAAATCAGAGTTTGTTTCACCCTACACTCGTGTCCCGACCAGTGACTGGGGAAACTGAGAGCTAAAGATCAGCGGGTTTCGATATCTCCTGAGCAAGGAAGAAGACAGCGGCGGACATACTCATCCTGAGTACGGGGATCCGTCACAACCAGGATTTACTGGCGCTTGCTCCCGGCTGTAAGATCCAGCTTCTCGAGCGCCCGTGCAGGAGGATGAATGCGGGCGCATGCTCAGTGGCGATCCCGTGCAGGAGGATGAATGCGGGCGCATGCTCAGTGGCGATCCCGTGCAGGAGGATGAATGCGGGCGCATGCTCAGTGGCGATCCCGTGCAGGAGGATGAATGCGGGCGCATGCTCAGTGGAGATCATCGGCAGGGAGAAGAGGAGAGACACAGTGTAGGTAAAGCCACGAAGCCGGGAGCATGCACGTCGGACAGACACCGTGGGGCACGAAGAGTCTGCGATGGATCAGAGACCGGCACCAGCGCTGGAGGGATTGCTGAATACAAGCGGAAGGAAAGAAGATGTAAAGAATGAACTCACTATTCATTTTTCATGAAAATTGCATCAACTCCAAGCAAGCCAAAACCTTAAAGTGACATTACACTCTCAGATTTTTTAACATAAACCAATACTGTAATGTGCGCCTTACTGTAATCCATGGTTGTTTCCCTTCTCTTTGCTGCTCTTCCTTTTAAATCTGTATCTGTTCTCATGCTCTGCAGAACTTCTGTTTTGCAGCAGACTGCCTTGTATCAGGAATGGATACACGGTGTCTGTGTGTAGGTTTGTATAGGCTTGAAACCTGAGCCAGCACTACAGGAAGAGGCCCTGAGCTGCAAAGGGAAGTTCTGCAGAGCATGAGAAGACATGAGGATTTAAAAAGGAAGAGCAGCAAAGAGAAGGGAAACAACCATGGATTACAGTAAGGCGCACATTACAGTATTGTTTTATGTTAAAAAATCTGAGGGTTTAATGTCACTTTAATCTGGTCCTTGAGGGGCCAACCACCGGTTCTGTGGAAAGGTCTGGTGGTCAGAATATGATAAGAAGGTGGAACATCTGGTCTCCTCATGTTGAGCCTTCCAACTTGTGGGCTTAAACCAGAACTAAGAACCAGGTTGCCGGGCCTTTTGGCCCTTCTAGGGCCACTAGAATTTCCAATAGATTGATGAAATGGAATGAGTTTTGGCAGCAAGAGGTGAACTTAAAATCAAACTTTCTCCTACAAGGAGCTGAAGATCTGCTCCAAAAGGACCATTCTTACAAATGATCTCCCTGTGAACTGGAAACAAATACGATGGAAGAGAAGAGGGGTACTCCTGTACATTTGGAGGATCAATTGGAGGAAAATTGTTCAGAAGTCACTGTAGAAAAATGTCTGTTGTGTCAGAGGGCCAAGCACAAGGAGCGACAATCCTCCCCACACAGAAAAACTAGTAACTCTATATTAGAACCAAGAGCAGTGCGGTCTTAAGGGGGGTGCAGCACGCACATGGGTGACACCTTTGCAGGGGTGACACCAAAATGACTGACAGTCATTGTGGTGTCACCCCTTCTAAAAAGTCGGGCACTCGTTCATGGGCCGAGAGCCCGACAGTGTCAGGAGAGAGGAAGGGACCCGGCGGCATACCTCATCCCGCCGGGTGAACGCCCCCTCCTCTCCCTGCCGGCGTCCATCACCAAGATGGCCGCCGGCAGGCGTCAATCAGATGGCCGCGCATGCTCTGACCAAGAGCAGGGGCGGGCAACTCCAGTCCTACAGCTGTTGTAGAACTGCAAGTCCCATGAGGCATTGCAAGACTCTGACAGTCACAGGCATGACTTCCAGAGGCAGATACATGATGTGATTTGTAGTTAAAGCACAGCTGGAGGGTAACAGTTGCCCACCACTGACCAAGATCAAAAGAAGAGATTGTAGCATTTTATGGGTAGCAATGTGTTGAACTGTGAACAGTACAACTTGTTACGTTTCCCTGACTCAGTCAAAGTTTGTACAAAGTGAAGACCAGATAAAGTCTTTCCTGAGGGATGAAGAAAGCCAGACGAAGTCTACACTTTCCCACCGGTAATATCCTCTGCAAGTATTTCTCATTACCACTTGTGGGAAGGAATCTGACGGACGTGGTTTTGGGTATTTGCTGTTGGCCAGTTCCCCTTTGCCTTCTTGTGCGACTTCCTGTGTGTACATCACTTTGAATTGTGAGATTAGCAGAAGTGAAACACAGACATTGGAATCTCTGAGACTGACATGAGGTGCCCTCTGTAAGTATTGTATCTGTATATCTGACCAATTACAATTCTTATCAGGACTTGTCTTTATCTTGAAGATTCTTATTGCTGCTGGTATTACAGAACAAGATGGGGGGGGGTATGGAACAGACAAGGAAGGACAGATCTGATATTTTATACCAAGAGCCATGAAAACCCAAAAGGAAAAACATTAAAGTGACACTAAACTCCAGAGTGAAATCTTAAAAATCCATTCAAGTACCCCAACTCTGACCAACAATGTATCTTATTTGTGTATCACTCGGCTGTAGATCCTCCAATCATCTCTGACACTGTCCTCCCTTCTGGAGGGGGGCTACGTCTGTTCCCCATGGTCCCTGTGTGTGTTGTAAAGTAGTCACCGCTCCAAGCTCCGCCCCCCGGGATGGACTACAATCTCATGTTTAGTTTACTGTATGCACAGTGGAGATCATCAGCGGGGAGAAGGAGACACACAGTGGAGGTGAATGCGCGCAGCCGGGAGCTTGCACCTCTGACAGACACCGTGGGACATGAGGAGTCTTTGCTGGATTAGAGACCGGCACCAGCGCTGGAGGGATTGTTGAATACTAGTGGAAGGAAGAAGATGATCGGATCAAGAGGCATCATTTAAGGTAAATCCTTAA